CACTCTGGGTCCCTGAGCAAGGACCCTGAACCCCACACTGCTCCCCAAGCGTCGCACAATGGCAGCCCACTGCTCCCCAAGGGGATGGGTTAAATGCAAAAAGTTAATTTCATTGCTCTGTACTTGTAACAGTGTAATTACAATACAAAACCAAAAGAAAAGAAAAAAAAGCTGTGTTTGTCACAAATTAATCTAGTTGATTGCCAACTAATTTCTTATCTGCCTTTTTCTACATTAAAAAAGATCAACCAGCCACGACGTGTGATACCCACATCGTAGTTGTAGCTGCTAAATCTTGGATTTAGATTCTACTGTGAAAACATAAAAAGTAAGTTTGTAAGTATTTCCGCGTCAGCAGGTACGTCATTCAGATTAGATGCGCCTAAATAAATACATTTACCCCTCCATACATATGGTGCAGTAAAACCAGTTCATAAGCAGCCTGTTATGGTCTCATAACTTTAAATTGCATGCAGATTAAACACAATAGCAATACAAATATAGTTGTTTCTTTCCTAAAACTATTTTTTTGTGTGACCTGATAAAGTTCATCATACATGACAGAGTTTTGGGGTCTCTTAGAAAAAACACTAAAACAGCCACCTTTGCAGAGACTTGTATCTGTGTCCAAACAAAAAAAAACATCACAGAAAGGGAGATCATGGAATCTAACTTTTACCATTTTACCAAAATAAAGTGGGAATAGCTGGAAGGAAGGATGAAGAGCCCAATTTTTCTCTTTGCAGTCAGCTATCCACTTTTTCTAGAAAAGGTGCTTACAGATGTGCTGCTTTCTGAATGACAGGCCTACATGGATTTATGTTTGCATTCAGGTATATAGATTGGGGTGGACTTGCTCCTCTAAGGTGCAGGTTTTGATTTATAACTTATGGTTAAGCAGGAGAAATTCCACTCAATTGTGAGACACGATTTTGTTTGTATTTTGATTTTTCCGTACACTTGTGAACGACACTATTCTTTGCACTGCTTTTGTGTCGATACAAGGGTCTTTGACACATCGTTCTAATCTGAAGGAAAAAAAATATTTGTGAGATATGTCTGGTTGAGTTTTTGCGAACAGTTTTGTGACGTTAGGAACGATTTTTCATCAGGCGTCAACACCGTTACCTACGCTTCAGGAACATCTGCGAGGCGCATAGATTTCAGCCAGCACCCGTTCATCTATCACACTGGTCACTATCGGTTAAAGAATTAGCTGAACTCACTTGTCCCACTGATCCAGAGGGTCATCTCCACTGTACGAAGCCAAGTTGTCCTCAAAACTCCTAAAAATGGAAAATATATGGACAAATCTCAACCTTTTAGACTCTTATTAAATGAAGCGCTGCTGCAGGAAGCTAACAACCCCTAAAGGCTTTCATTCAGACTTACCGTAAATACGAACTGATATCCATCTCAGTTCGGCTCAAAAAAGTCTCCCGACTCCCTAAACATAAAATAAACTTTATTTGGAGTTGTTTTATTTAGCTTTTGTGTCACCAGAGTTAAGTTTACTATGTACATTTCATTTGTTACTCGCTAGCTTCCTACCCGCTATGAACAACTATTTAAACATCGCGCTTAACCAATAAACATGTAAAAATTTGTAAATACCACGCCCCCAATGGGAAACAGGAAGTGACGTGGGCTATTTTTAAAGCAGATCCCTAAACAAGAAGTAAAAAAAAAAAAAAAAGAAAAAAGATATGATTTAAAATAGACGAATTAGCCTTAAATCCCTTGAGAATTTAAGGAATAGATATATTAGGATTGAATAGATAGCAATAGTGCTGGGATGAAGATGAGAAAGGAAGAAGATTAAATAGGGTTCAAAAATCTGTACTTGTTAAAAATCATGGAGAAAGAAGCAGAAGGGAAGAGATAATTAATAATAGATTAAGAACTGGACATACCTACTTGAATGAGTTTTGGTTTGAACTAGCGAAGAGAAATAATGATATATGTGAGGGTTGTGAAAAAAAAAGAAAATGTGGATCATGTTTTGATGGATTGCATTAAATATGCAAGTGAAAGAGGGAGGATGGAGTTTTAAATTAATTTTAGGGACAGATGGAGATAGGGAGGAAAATCTGGTTATTAATTAAGCTTTTTTTTATTTTTACATAACACAATATAAAAAATAGAATATAGTAGGTGGAACTATAGAGCTACACGCTGTATCAGATACAGTGTACACCTACTGTACAGTAGATGGCGGTATGAACCTATAAATTGTTTGCAATCCGCCAATCTAACAACAAAGAAGAAGAAGAATAGACCCGCATTGACGGTCGCGGCGCAGGAATTACGCCGGCCATCTTGGGGCGGTTGAACTTCTACCCTATCCCGCTGACACAAGAAAAAAGCTTTGCAAAACAGTCCTTTTTCAGGGCTTTTAGCTAATATTAAAGAGATGTATATATATATATATATATATATATATATATATATATATA